AGGTTTCCTTTTGGGCATTCCGTTGGAGCGTAGGACCTCAATATTTAGGAGTGGCAGTCGTTTATCCTCCGCCTCCATTGCGTTTATAAAATTAAAAAACTTATCCAAGCTTTTATTTTCATGCGACCAAAGTGCAAAGTGGTCGTCCAGGTATGGTATAAGCACTTTTGGTTGCAGCGGTTACTTCTCGAATTCATTCTCCAATTCGTCCATGTATACATTTGCCGAAAGAGATGAGTGGATATCTCATTGGTAGTCAAAATACTTGCTCAGATATTGTCTTTGAAGGTAAAATGTGTGGTGCTTACTGGCAGGTTGATTAATCATGTTAAGAGCTCCTTCCATTTCCGCTCTGCTTCCAGATTATCCTACTCTCGTTCCAAGACCTCCAGTAGAGCGATGACTGCCTTCTCACCTGAGATGTTTGTGTGCGTAGATTGTACGTCCAAACTTACCAGCATTTCTGTTCCAGCCAGTCCAATATTTCAGATCCTTTGAACAAATTCATATGAATTCTTCACGGTATTCAAGAGTCTGTTGGTTACTTTCTTAAACCTCAACATATAAATTTCGCTAGTTTGTGTGTTGCTTCATGCTTGTTGTTGACTCTTAATCTTTGGTTTCGAATTCACCCATTTCACGCTTTATCTGTAGCCACTTGACATGTCATCCGCAGCCATTTAACTTAACTGAGCAAATATAGAGGCAAAGCATAGGACATCCAACCAAAACTTGAGATACATAAGCGGACCGATTGGAATATAAGAAGGAAGTAGGTTTGAAGCCGGTCACTTTTCTTGTCTTCGTGTTTGTAGTGAATAATCGTTAAGCATGGTGTCCTACTCTGGCGAGGTCCCTCATGACGGACGAAGGCTCAGCAAGGACATATCGGCGTCGTAGGGCAGTGCTCTGAGGACCTATTCGCACAAATCTACAGGCACAACTCCAAGGCAACTCCCCCCCGCCAGTTTCCAGTGAACCAACTTACGAATCCCTTCCACTAGCCTGCTCAAGCGAAATGAAAGGTACTCCAACATCAATATGGTTATAATCGACTTCTTCAAGTCTTGGAAACAAGCTAGTACTAGCCATATTCATGTGCAATTCTTAAAACTTTAGATTTTACGCAAAGAACCTGTAAATGTAGATTATATGCTAGTCTACGGCTACTCATAATGCAAATTTCAGTTCCGCGGGGTATTGTAGATCAAACTTTAAGATTTGCTCTTATTCGCAAAATAAGAGCAAATGGATATGCTATTCAAATAGTATGAGAAGGCGGAATACATATAATAGTTGGGAAAAAAATGCCAGCTCACCGAATATGAGTAGAAGTGGCGATTAGACTGGTTGGCTCCTTGTGGGGCATCAATAAATCAGCACGCTTAGGGTTTGTGATAAGGACCAAAGGGAACTCTGTATGTGGGCCTTCAACCACACCCACCTTCGGCTTGAGCATTTGAATATCAGAGGTGTTTTTTTGCTCACTGATGAGATTTGTGTCAACAAAGGAGACCAAATCGTGATCTACGGCAACGATGCGGTAGCTTAAGAATGCAAATAAACAGGCATTATGAAGGGTTGAAATAATGCAATATTTAACAAGCAAAAATCCCTTGGACTAGCTTTTTAAATGGACACAGATATCAGCAGGTTGAGGGATCAAGCCAATATCAGTCAGAAACGGCTCTTAATTTTAGAAATGTATAGATGCCGCTTTTGGATTACATAAATGGATCATGTAATATTAACATTTAAAGAAGAATATATATCGCTGATTAGTTGTAAATGAGGATTTATAAGCCATTAACCGAATCAATGCTTCAAGAAAAAGCATATTTTACCCAGCACAAGAAATTATATAATAATAGACTTCAATATGGATATTAAGTGTTAATATGGTCCAGGAGAACGAGATATACTAAATGATGAAGAGGAGAAAAATGACCGAAAGTTAAAAAGGTCAAAAAAGAAGAATATGTTTAATGGAAGTTGTTTGACTTTGTTTTCGCAACTCGGTCATATTTGTAGGAAGACTTAGAGGAACGCACCTAGTCCGGAGTACATTGTATGCATCATCATTTACAGAGTAGGACTGTGGACGTGGTACATTCCCAGACGTTTCGCCGCCATCGTCAGTGAGCCTTGCCATTCGTAGCACCATATTTCAACTCGTCAAAAGAGACAAATAAGGCCCATAATTTGACCAAACGCGGCATTCATAAAAACCCTTCACACTCCACACTGTTTTATCACCCCTTCACCCTTGTGCTGGGGATGTTGATCAGAGTCTGTCATATTGTTACGTAGTTCTTCCCTGGGTCCTATTAAAGTCTCCCTCTTGCCCCGTAGAATACGTCTGCTATCTCCCTGGTATATGTATTTTACTCGACCCCTACCCCCCCATCTGTGCTATTCGATGCGCAATTCGTCCACCCCTTGCACCTGGGTGATTGATTGTGACAGAGAAGGCATGATAGGAAGATATAGAAAAAGTAAATAGCCCAAGGCAGAAGGGGAGATACCATAGCTGTTTAGCACGCGTTAGTTAAAGGATGGGTTTCACTTGTCTCTTTAACGAGTTATAATATGGTGCTACGAATGGGAAGACTCACTGACGATGCCGGCGAAACGTTTGGGAATGTACCACGTCCGCGATCCTACTCTGGAAATGATTATGCATACAATGGACTCGGGACTAGTTGCGTTCCTCTAAGTCTTCCTACCAATATGACCGAGTTGCGAAAACAAGGTCAAATAACTTCTATACAACAAAATGAGACTGCGACCACACAAAAAGCAACACAATCTTGGTCTTCATACCTTCAATATGTTTAATGGTTTGTTACAAGCTACAGTAAATAGCTAGGGGAAATTAGAAAAGATTATAGCTTAAATTCGAGAGTTAACAAAATGAAAATAGTGAAAAATGGCTCAGCATATGAAAAAGAGACAGATAAGAACGATCTGAGGAAGGTTTACTACCTCATGATGCGCTTTGCTTGAGGGTGTTAACATGTTAAGCACATGCAATAATAAAATATATAGAAAGAGCTGAAGGTGAAAATGATTCATTAATGAAATTCAGGTCTGAATTCAAATACGCAAATGAAACTCAGATTGAACCTACTAACGATTATCCTTCCAATCTCCGAGCTCCAGCTCCAGATAGCCTTGCGGTTGGAGAGCATAAAGCTGAGTACAGCCAGCGTAGCAAGTATGTAAGTGACCGACGAAATACATAATCCCAGTTTGCCTATTCGTAGGTGGTCGGCGTTGGTAGAGTAAAGATTATATAAATAAAAAAGAGATATGATTAGATGAATTAAAGATAAATTTGAAAAATAAAGCCTTTAAAACAGAGGTTGCATTTAATCAGACGTCATCATAGCTATGCGAGGTTTAGAGGAATACTCGTAAACAATGTATTAATAAAACTGTTTTAACAAACTAAACTCACACAGGTATGAAAACCAAGATGGTGTGGCATTTAGTATGGTCACGGTCTCCTCTAGTTATATAAAGTTGTTTGAATATGCTTTCGCAAATTGGTCATAGTGACAAGAAGACTAAGAGGAACGCATCTTG